CCTTCTCTCTCTATCCCAGCCCTGTTTGCGTATCCTCTACATTAGGTCTCTACCCTGCTGTGCTCTTTCAACAAAGCCATTCCCTTGCTGAACCCCACCTCAAAATTTCATTTCAGTGTTAAAATCAAACGGTGCTGAATCCTTTGCTCCAAACTGCAAATATTCACCTATGATAAAAACGCCAAGATGCTGACAGCTTGCATTTGGTACCTAGGCCCTGATCCTGAATAAGTGAGGGGTCGGAGAAGAACGGAATCAGTGCTTTTAGAAGGCAGGTATAGCAAAGGGAAGCAGTAAAGAGGTAGTTGTGATACTCCATTTTGGATCCAGTATTGAGTAGGTTATCAGTCATAAGGAGTGTGAGACCTACTAGGTTCAGATCTTACCTTGAACCCAGTCAGGGGAGAGGGAAGGGGATGTATTTGCTCCCAGTATTTGCTCCAGTGAGTATGATAAATATATCAAACCAAACTGACTGCCTTACAGAAAGAATCCTATAGCGAGGGATCATATGGACTGCTGATTAGGGCATGGTTTCAGGTACCCTCAGAGAGGAAACTGGTGGTGCTGTGTTTGTCACAGCAGTCTCGAGCAGTATGAGAATGAATAACTCAAAATGAATAATATGAATTATTATTCAGTGATGAATAACTCAAATGTTGATGTTACAGGAGAGCAGTGTTGACTGAGGCCTGCTAGGGCATTAGTATTGGGAGCAATCAGAAAAATTTGGCAAGGATATGACTTCTCCAGAACCTTAGCTAAAGAAGTATGCTTATTATTTTGACCCAAATTCCTAACGCTTACAGAAGACCAAAATGAAGCAGCATAACTAGAGAGGAAGGCAAGACATTTTCCTGGAGGTGTATTTAGATCTGAAATGTATTCTGCTCCTTGCTCTGCTAGAGACTAAATCTAGTGATATGCGAATGTGCATAAAGCTGTTTTAGCACCCAGCATCCAGTTCTCCACAGCACGCTAGCAGCAGCACACTGTGCAGTGGAGTATACCAGCTTAGTATACCATTTGAATGTGAGATAGAGACTAAGAAACACTGACAGAAAATACATTCCCAGGAGGCAATGATGTGCCATGCTTTGAGCAGTTCCCATTAATGCCAGCACTTCAGTCTGATCCTGATCATCCTGCTCGTTCTGAGCAGGGCATTGTCTAGAAGATACAATAAAACCAGTGAAATTTCCCATTGGGTGAGAAACTGTTCAGCTTAAGTAAAGGCAATCAACTGTGATTCTCTGAGATCCGTGTAAAATGGTGTGGGGTCCAAGCAGGAACGAGAGACAAGGTTTCATTGGTTCTCCCATAGTGTTCTTGTTCTTTCTCCCTTTATGCGTTAGTTTTCCTTCTGTATTCATTTGCCATTCATCTGTTTTTACAGTTCAGGTTTCCAGCTCTCTCTCCCTGTCTCTTTCGTTTTTTCTTTGCCAAATCCTCTTGATGGAGGAGAAGACTGTTGGTTTTGCAGTGAAGTGCTTCCACGCTGCTAGAAGAGGAATCAGATGGATTTCTACTGTTTCCTTAGTAATTGACCTTTGTGCAAAGTAGGAAGAAATGCAACGTTTCCTAGTAATGGTTGGCCTAAGACGTTCCCAAAGAAAGATTAGTTTCCTCCGTTAATCCATGACATATGGTAGTTCACGATTTCCAAACTGAGAATACCAGCTTTACACTCTCCAGATGAGAATTAGTATGGTCCCTTCCTTTTGGAGAGAGACAGCGCATCTCTTCATCTGCTACAGGTTAGTACAGCTGCCTTGCCTTCAGGGAAAGGCAGCCCCGTGAAGATCTGTCCATTAAAGTAACTTAGTCTGTCACATTAACTATTCTGATATTGACTATTCTGATATAAAGGCACCAAACACTTTTTGGGTTTTTTTCTTTATTTTTTTTGATAACAATTTATAAGTACAACAGAAATATTGAGACTGTTGCTGTCCATGAAAGTCATCACAGTTCTGACCTGTACTACTGCTACAATTGGACACTTTCTTGAAATGTTCATTAAAGCCCGCACAAACACATTAGAAGTGGAAAACTTGTCAAGTATCTGATGAGGTCTGATTATAAAATATGAGAAATATAGGACAGCTATGATCTCATTCTGGTAATAAAAATGTTTTTGTTTGGCATCAAAATAAAATGCAGGTGGCCAAATAGTTTAGTGAAGATCTGCTGGAGTGAGGAGAGGACAGTCATGAAATAAACTGGGCCAAAACGCAGTTCTGATGAGCGCTGCTGTTGTGAGCTCGTTGCTTGAATATTTTTTTCCAATCAAAAATTTATGTTTATATAACCTGTGAAATACACTGGGGACATGCTTTTGTAGCAGAGATAGAAAAGCAAAAATATGCAGGCTTTTAGAAGTTACAGGAAGCACCAAAGACCGTATAAATCCCTCCTGGGGAGGGTAGAAGCAGATCAAAACTTGTAAGAGTCAGTTCTGTCACCTGGAGCATTCAGCCAAGGGAGTTTAGTATAGCATGTAGTTACAGATGATTAATTGAAAATAGATGGATTCTGAAAAGCTATTGCTATTCAGATTAGCAAGCTGAAATCATCAACTGCCTCTTTGGAGTCCAAGCTTAATGCTTATGCCTGGAGAATATCGAGAGCCAACTGGAACAAGTGTGTCCTTTCATTATAAAAGTGTGCCTTTTAAACTGATCTGCTCCACCGTAAGAGTCCCTGCTGTTTGATTTTTCCCCTCATCTGTGGGTTTTACCAAATTGATCTGGCAGACCAAAAAGGTATTGTTATTCTTGTTTGTTTGTGTGAAACAGCAAAATGTGTTATGCTGCAATTTTTGTCACCTTGCTGCATCCTTTGCCACAAGCCGACCTGCTTCTGTCCCACTGCTGGCTTTCAGGAGCCAGTGTGAAGATAACAGCCTCTCCTCCTCTAAAGGTGGCATGACTGATCAGTAAAAAGGGAGGGTAGGTTTCTGCAGGACTTCTGTTGCAAACACCCTGCATGAGCTGGGTTAATTTATGGGAAGAGCTGGGGAAGACTGCAGGGCACTTGAGCACATTCCTTCTGGTAAATTTCTGGCCGAGTTGGCTGTGTAACTGCCAAGTGCTGCCGCGCTGCCTGCTGCCTAACCTTGCCCTGCCACACTTAACAGCCCTTCCGTCTCCTCTCTGAGTTTTCTGTCTTTGACTAGTTCCTACTGAACCCACAGCGATCTTTCCTTTCTTGCAAAGGGTATTCTAGAAAAATGTTTTGTTCTTAAGTTCTATAATGTGTCTTCCTTCTCATGGAAGCTATTTCACGTATGAAGAGAGGGAAAAAAGGCAATTCTGCTTAGGAATTATTGATCTGAGCAGCTTCTATTGTGAACCTTACTGTGCCAAATGGGAATGGCCTGCACAGGGGATGCTGAGAGCAGCACGTTGCTATTTTACTGTTAACGTTCCAGTCCTGAAAAGACAACGAGGACCAGAGCCGCCTTGTCGTCATGTACAAGTATGTAAGCCTGAGGAGATGCCAGTGGCTGTTCTAGCCAGAGTAGTTGCTGCGCACCTTTTGTTTGCACGTTCTTGTTCCCTTTTTGCTGCTGAGAAGGGGTGAGGAAGGAGTGAGGTGTGCCGGGCAGTGTCTCTAGGGGAGGTGATTTTGGGGCAGCGCCATGAGGAGAACGGCTCTTCTCTGACTCTTCCTCCTGGCCCGTCTCTTCCCTATTCCCTTCTCTACTATAGTTGGAAGCCTTGACACCTGCCCGTATCAGAAAATACGGGAAGGCAACTCTACAGAGGCTGTCATCTCCACGTGGAGATTTGCTACTGAAAGGATCTGTGGAATAGCAAAATTGAATGTGACCTAAGCTGCTGAGAAATCTTGAGCTGGCTCTGCTTGCCTCACACATATCAGAGTTCAGTATTTTGTATTCTGGACCTGCCAGGCAGATTTGTCTCAGAAGGCAAGCTAAGTTTCATGCAGCCATTTTTTGGCCTTGAAGCCCTAGTGTCTCACTGGATACAAAAGCTTGCATTTAAGGATGATTTTACTGAAAGAGCTGAGCTCTCCACTCTTCGTTTGAAGGCATGCCTGAATTTACTTCTTGTGTTTGACTTACTTTTCTCAATTTCCTCTACTGCTTAAGTTTACTCACTTCTGCAAACTGCGATACATTGATAGTGTTTATTAAACATGAACATGACTAATTCAGTGAGTGGAAACTGGAGTGGCGTAGCAGAGCACTATCCATTGGAGAGCACGCTTCAGTGTTATTTCACAGAACAATGTTGCTGTGTTGATGAAGTGAATGATTTACCAGACCCACTGCATGCTCTCAGTAGACCCACCTGATCAGTTTGCACTTTGACAGCTTAAAAGCTCTGGTAGAGATTGTACAGCAGAGATCTGTATAGGGAGGGGTGCACAAGAGATTTAAGGAAGGCCAGGTAAAAGGGGAACTAGACATTCCCAAGCCTTGAGAAAATGGTGCGTGAGGAAGCTGACCTCCTTTAGAGAGGTATATTCAGGGTTATTCACAAACCGGTTTATTGATTACTCGGACGTATTCCGTAAGATCATCTCTCTCTGTTTAAAGAAGAGAAGGAGCTCTTTCTGCACAGCTGTTGTTCTTTTCTGTAGCATGCTGCACTGATAGCTAAGCCATATTGACCTGGTTAGCAGAAGCGATGTATCTGGCTTAATTAAAAAAGAGAATGTTTAGTCATTTGAGAACTGTTGTGCCTATGCAGTGCTGAAGAGGTAAATCAGAGCAACCTCTACATCTGTGTGGATGGGTGGGCAGGCCAATGAGATGTTTGTTTACGTGAGCATACACTGATTAGCATTTATTTTTGTAGTCAGTTTGCCTCTCAGTTACTTCATCTTCTTCTGTTTTTTTAATCTTAATTCCAAAATTGTCCATAAGTAAGCTGTGAAGTCTTTGTGTAATTATACCATTTGATTTGGATGGGTGTTTCAGTTCTGGCTTGAATTAAATTGTTTTTTCTTTTTTTTTTTTCCTCTTTTAGCATCATAGACAGAGAAGTGTCATTAATGGCAGAACTTGATAAAGTTAAAGAAGAAGCCAGTAAGTAAAAAAAACATACCAGGGAACTTTTGGAGTAGTTGCGGGAACGTTCGTTTTGTTCGGCAGAAAAATTACATGGTACATCAATTCAGCTAGCAGCATTCCCAACATCTTTCATTGTATACATAGTCTTTGATGTTCTGGGATAGTTTCTGAATAGTTTCTAGCTTTAAGGAATGTGCATCATGTGGTATTCACGGCCTAGTAGTCAAGGGAATGTGTTTCAGCAGAGAGCGCGCTAAAGTAAGAAACTGAAGAATTATGCAAGTATTGTTAGAGTGATGTTTTGCCTGATGGATTGTAATCCATCAATATCACTGCTATGTCTGTATATAATCCTTTCTTTAATTTGTGAATTTAAGGTCCTTCCAAGGCGGGTCACAAATATATGTGACGTTCCTGAGTGCTTCATTTGTATTTCAAACTCTCACTTAGTTTCAGTTAAATTTAACAAAATTTATATCCTCTGTTGCCAGCTAGGTCACTTGCAGTTGCGTACATGTAGAGATTAAAAAGTCTAGGTTTTTCTAGCAAAGGTTGGCATTAGCTTATGTTTGGAATTTCGTAAGGTAACTTTTCTAATACTAAGATGAAATTGGGATGAATTTGGAATTCTGGGTTTTTCTGGGGAGGAGTTGTGGATAGAAATATGTCAGCAGCTTTTTGGTACCTGCAGAGACTCCTATGATCAGCTACAGGGCATGCACTCACTCCCAAGGAAAACAATGGTAAAATTCCCATTGATGTCAGCACACCTGGATCCAAGCCCAAACTGTGTAAACAAAACTGCATTTTGGAAATCTGCAGGCTGGGGCTGATGCTATCACAGGGCCTCTTAATTAGTCTTGGCTGGGGCCAGTAGTCATTTTTGTGGAAAGTAAAGCTGACTCCTGTCTACTGGCACGCGAACTGCTGTATTCACAACTGGTGTGTTCTTGTTCCCCGCTTTAATGACTGCGCATGTGACATTAGATGGCCTTTGTACCTATTTTTACAGTGTAGTTTCTGCTGTCTCTCAGGGCTGTTGTAAGCCTGTAAAGCGCCTTTAGAAATTTAGGCAGAAAGTTTTTGTAGGACTATAATATGCTAACCAAGATTTACATTATTATTTATTTTCACATCTTTTTGCTGCACTGGAGGACTATTTTACAGTGGGTAATCTTACTCTTACTGTCAATACTGGGACAATTTCCAAATATAATCACTTTAGTTTGTTGTACAAATGTGTATTTGGCTGGCATCTCATGCTGAGATAAATGTCAGTATGAGATGAGATTGTATGGTTTGGGCAGTCACTTCAGAAAAGGCGGTGCTAACCTTGGAGAGAAAATATTAGCATCACCTAGAATATGCAGTAAAGTAGAACTATTGAACAACAACAACAAAAAAAACCCAGCTAGCGAATTGTTCATTTAATCTGATAAAGTTCCTCAGACTTGTAGACCATATTCGTCAAAGATGAAATGAGAAGATCGGCTGGAGAGCTAGATAAAAACCTGTTCTGTGGCATAAATAACATGGCAGGTGCAGATTTGACAACAGGGCTAAAGAAACTTGCCCTCCTCCCCGTTAACCCTGCTCTGTGTGACACATACTCCTATATTGCTTGATGTGTTTGCTGCCACAAAGCAGTATCGCCACAGCTCTGTCTCCCATGTGCCTGCTGGATCATGCTGTACTTCCAAAAGGACCAACAAACTCTAATGGTGAAATACCATTAATCTTCACCTAAAAAAATGGCATGACAAAGTATGAACTGGTTAAGTGACTCGCCAGGACTACTCGGGAAATTTGTGGCAAAGGAAGGCAAAGAAGCCAGAATCTCAACTGCTGTAAAGGAATCTGTGGCCCTGTAATGTTTTACAACAACTGCCACCAACTTACCCTGAGTGTAGGCCTAAGCTCTAGAAAAAAGACTAATAATTGCTATTATTTTACATTTAGATACTGTTTTTCCTCTTTGCCTAAAGTGGTGATCCCACCAGCCAACAAATCAGATGTTGCCTTTGCATGGAGTTACCATGTAGGTAACAGTGTATGCATATATTTAATATTCCATCAAAATTGTAGTATCACATTATCCTGAATATTAGTGGACTGTTATTTTGTGGTTTATGGTTAATCTTTTCCTAGAAGTAGAATATAAATGTTCACCACCTCCTTATATATACTAAATACACGAGATGTGCAGTAGTATGTAGTTCATATTTATTTCAAAAAGACTGTTGGCCTTTGTAAGACTACTTTGCCCTAGAAACGGTAAATGTGTATGTTCTGTGCTTGAAAGCAAAACTGCTGGGGATTTAAGCATGAACTATATATGAACAGATTTTTTTCAGAGGGAGAAAAGTACTCCTGTCTAAATAAAATACAGCATATCTTCAAAAACAGGGCTGCTGGTTCGAAGTACTGCTTCTTTCCATGTCTCAGTGGAAGGCTCCTTGATTTTGTGCTTAAAAATAAAGCACTGGAAAATTCAAAACAGCATCCTCTGCCTCGGCTGTCTAAATACTGAAGGATTGGTTCCAATCCTTCCAAAATGGGATTTGGCATCCCATTTCTAGATCTTTTTCAACACTAGGCAGTTCAGTTAAATTCACCAATTGACTTAGTCTGTGCAAGCAGCATCGTGTTCCATTCAGCTGAAGTGGGGAGTGTGGGGTGTGTGTTTGCCTCATGTGTAATGTACAGTGTTAATGCCCAGAGAGTCATGAATTACAGAGCATTTACCTTCCTAGTATTAATTATTGACTATTGGTATTTGGCAGTGGAAATCCTGACTGCTCGGCAGAAGAAAGCTGAGGAGCTGAAGAGACTGACGGACCTAGCCAGTCAGATGACTGAGGCACAGCTGTCTGAACTCAGGGCCGAAATTAAGGTCAGGCATTCACTTCTGCTTGGGTATCTTAGCTGTTTTGCACAGATGCCAAGAAAGGGCTGTCCCATTTACATGCCCAGGCTGTTCCTTCCTACTGTGGGCCAGAGCGCAACTAGTTTTCCATGAGGAAGGCATACTTTATCTTAAACCGTTACAGCACCTCTGAGCAGTGGACAGACACTATCATAGACCTGTGTAAGCTTTCCTTTCACAGGTGGAGCAGAGGAGAGTTCTGCTATTTGTGTGTCATTCCTCAGACTGAGTTACCAAGTAAATCTGATAGCTTCAGGTTCAGTGATCAAACACATGCATGCCAGTGGAATGACACACTTCCTGAGCGTGGGCTTGATTGGGCTGTTAGACATATCGTTTGGTAAGGATGGGAAAATACTTTGTTCTTCACAGAGATCCTGCATACAGGGCAGTGTCACAGCTTGCTGAGCCTTAAAGTGAGCTTAATATATGTATTAATAGGTTGGTTTCTACACCATGCGTATAATCTTTAGGGACAGCCTAGAATGCAAAATCATTGTTAATTTGTCTATATTTTTGCAGCACTTTGTAAGTGAACGGAAATATGATGAAGAGCTGGGCAGGTCTGCCCGATTTTCCAGTGATACAGAGCAGCTAAAGACCCAAGTCCAGCTGTGTGGAGAGAGTAAGTGCTGGTGATTTCTCAGACTGAAGTTACAGGAGCATAGTGTTCCCACTACTTGTATAGAAAATCCCAGGCAGAAGTAAGGACATGTGTAGTGCCTGTGTATGTATGCACCACATCTGACATGCATGGTGTGTCTGGATGCCGCTGACCTGCTACTCATGAGCAAGTTAACTTTACTGTATGCAAAATATATTAGACTCACTGCACATATGCTGCACAGTCCATCTGCATGTGCACAGTGCCCCCTTTGTCTGCAATTTAAAGGTATTACTCAGGTCAGTTGAAGTTTTCCATCTAGACAGGATTTCCAAGTGGAAATAAAAGTCACCTCTGGGAAACTCTCCAATTTGGAAGTTATTTATGAGTAACTAGTAAATTGGAAGTTCTCTGTGTGAGCATGATGTCGTGAGACCAATTCAGACCTCTGCTAGGAAGCAAGTCCCCAGGTTTATATCAAGGTTCACTGGGTTTTGAAGGAGCTAATGGTAATTCTAAATGTTCCTGTTTCCAAACTGTCTGCCCTTCTGCTCGGAAATTCACGTTCTTTTTCTGCTTCAAGTATCATTTTCCTGATGCAAAATGTGAGCTCCCATCTTTGTCATGCTTCCCCCTCCACCTAAAAGTAAATGCTTTAAGGCTTTGCCCTGAATGTCTCCCCTCCCCATGATATCCCATCAACACCAGCACTCAAGACAAAAACCATTAACACAATAGTGAACTAGTGTGTCTTGGTGAAAAGAAAATAATTTCAGGAAGAAAAAAATTTAACGTTTCCAAGGAGTTGTTACAAATAGCAAGAAAAAATATCACACAGTCTGCCAAAAACAATCTTGTGATTGCATGGCTGAAGAACTGGCTCCTTTGAGGCATAACCAGTTTAATTCATTAGAACATAAGAATTGCTATTGCAGAAAGCTTTGAAGATCCATCTAATCCAGGATCCTGTCCCTTGTTGCAGTCAACCCAGGATATTTCAAAGGAAGAAGGCATAAACTTCCTAGTAATGCATCTGAAAGGGACTATGAAATCACTGTGAACTATCTGATACCCTGAAGCTTAAGAGATTGAAAATTCTGTTAAGGTTATCCTGAAGAATATAACCACAGCTGCTATTGATACAAACATGGACTACTTTTTTTTTTTTTTTTAACTTACCGAACTACTTTCCTGAATAACTTCCAGCTGCAGTGAATTCTTTAGGTTAATAATTTATACCTCTTTTCAGCAAAGCATTCAGGCATGTACATAAGTGTAGACCTGTTGAAATCAAGTCAGTGAAGTCAAAAGAACAAGCTATTAGCCGGGAATCAAAGCCATCTTCCAGTTGCCTGGTGGTGCACTGGGAGTTCAGAGAACTTAGTTCTAATCTGTGCTCAGTGACCTTAGATGAGCAAGTCATCCACAGTTGGCATGTCCTTTGTGGGAGCTCTTCATGGCAAAAGGTGTTTTTATTTGGAGCATCTCACAGTGAGGTTTATACCCTGCTAGGAGTTCCAATTGCCCCTCAGACAATTGCCCCTTATACCAGATCTGTAGCTAAGCACAGCCATTGCTGAGAGCTTTAACAAATGCAATAACCAAAACCACAAAGCTTCTGCAGAGGAAGGCGTGATCTAGCACGAGAGGATGTTAGGCAGCATAGACTGTCAGTGGAAGACAGGGAGAAACAGAAGTAATTGGACTGATATATATCCAAAATGCCTGATGATGGGTTGTACCTTATACATCTTTCCTGTCAATAATATGTTTTTATGAGAAGCAGCTGGATGTTTATATGGGCTTCCATGTGAGGTGGCCTGGTTTAAGGAAAAGAGAGCAATAGAATACAGCGACAGCCAAACTCACATCACCCTTTCCACCTTCAAACAGAAAACTCAGTCCATTGTGCAGCTCTGTGCAATTCACTATTAGGGATGGTTACATTATTTTTGTTAAGAGGACACCTAGTGGGAGAAGTATCTGATGTTAGCGTAAGCCATTAAAAGCCTCAGAAAAAAAGCAGCAGATGAGGCTCAGTTCCTATAATCTACATCATCTTTTTCTATCCTAAAAGTGGAAAAATGGAAGTTCCTCTTCGGGGAATATGTAATATTAGATAAGACAACAGGTGTGTCACTGAGAATGTTCTTCCTCTCACTGAAGTGAAGTTCTAGTTTGTGTTACCTGTGCAAGAGGAGAACAGGGCAATTCTGTAATCAGAAGAATCAGAACAGCAAATTAAGATCCAGAGCTTTACTTCAACAGCCTCAGAGTCCTTTCTGAGGCTTCTCAGGGGTCACCACAGAGAAGCAGACACCTTGAAGGGGCTTGTGGAAATGTAGTGGATAGGAATCAAGGGTTTGTTTGGTGTACTTCACATCCAGACGTGGAAGTCGTTAAGAAATCAGCTGGTCTAGAAGTATTAAGAGGTAGGGAGCAGGCCTAACATTAAGACATTAAAATGAGCAGTCATGATTCATGATGGAGCTGGCTGTGCCATGGCCTGCATGAGGTGGAATGGTACATTCCCATCAGTCCCATTTTGATAGATATCCATGCTACAGAAGAACCTTTATTAGCCATCCCCTTGTAGAAGAATGAGCAACAGATTCTATGCTTTTTTTTTTTTTTTCCTAAGGAAGCTTTCATGGCTGTTACCTCCGTTGTAGACCATAAACTGCAGCCTCCTCAGTTTTCCATAATCAAAGAATGATTTGAGGTCAAATTCAGTCCATGTAGGCAAGTGCATGCACAACTTCCTCTGACTTTCAGCAGCAGAGAGAGTTACTAGGCATCCCACTCATCTTCCTTCCCGGGTTTCTTCCTTTGTTGCCTAAGGACTCCCTTTTGGAGCATTACAACAGGACAGCAGTATGAGGGGCAGTCCTGACAGAACTTTGTTCAGCTCAACTGGTTAAAAAGCCACAGGCAAAAGCAACAGGTGCCAGGAATAAAAGGTCTGTATTTGGAAAGTTTTCTTGGATGACCAAAGGCTTGGGCTGGCAGTCAGTGACGCTTTCATACTCTTCGCTGGCAGTGAAGCTGTCTGAAGAGTACTGCTGCAAATTACACTCGAGCTGAAAATGCCCGGTGAGACAGGCGCAGATCCCTTTTAGCTGTTGGCATCATAGGCTTTGAAATAATGCTGTCCTTTGCACAACAGATTATTTATTCTTAAGCAGTACTAAAGTAACTTGCAGACTGTCTCCTAAGCCCTCATTGTCACAACCTGGACTGCCTTCCAGCAAGGTTCCCTAACTGTCCCCTAGTGTCCCTAGGCTGTTTTTCTACTCCTAGTCGGCCTTCAGGCAGCTGTATTGAAGAAGACAGCTCCTCCCATTTACAGGACAAATGGACAAAACAGTGCAACATTTTACAAGCACGAGTCTACACAAATCATGAATGCGCTAACCTTCTGCAAGACCCATTCCAGTTTTAGTGCAGTTCCACCACGTTGGTTCTTTTATCTCCAGAAATGCTTCATGATGAGCGATTTCACAAAAGTTAAAACACTATGGCCTATTTCTGACCCTAGTTATATAACTTACTTCATAATCTAAAGCGAGGCAAGAGTAATGCTACCAAAACTCATTCTAAACAGGATAAGAATAAGGCCTTATGTTTGGCTATTGGTCTTTTAACTGATAATACCAAACACTTTTTTTTGCAGTTTCTCACCCAAAGAACAATTATTCCTCAAGAACACCATGTAGTTCAGTGCTGTCTTCAATGACTTCACAAGCAACAACTGGCAAGCAAAATACACACACCCGAAAATCCTCTAGTAATGCCAAGAACTCTGATAATAAAACAGCCAGCGCTAAAGTGCAAAGTCATCTTTCTTCCAATCCTATAGAATCCTCTCCCCAAGGAATCCCAACAAATAAGCAGGTAAGAAACCAGTTATCAACTGAACTAAAAGATTTCAAAATTTTCAGAAAGTATGCAGTATTGAAAGTGATTAATACCAAATCAATTATTGGTTTGCAGGTCATATATTTAATTCATAATTTCCTAAATATGGAAAAATATGCAAATGTATCTCTTCCATCTTCATTTTCATGACAATGTGAACATACAAGATAGGAATATCAGAAATGCTGTATCAGGAAAGAGCACTGTCTGGTCTCCAAAAGTGACCAGCATCAATTAATAGACTGACAAAAAAAGCCCTCCATAATACCTAATTGTCCTGCATGCTGTGATGGACAGACATTTATTCCTGATCCTTGACAAGTGATCAGCTGATGTTCCAAAACATGATTGTTAGATAGCCTTTGAAAGGCAAATCCTGCTAGGTTTAAAAACATATTATTTCAGAAAGTGTATAATACAGCTTATAGTATTGTGCTATGTTATTATCTGTTTCATTTGAAGAACACCTTAGAATGTCCTTGTGCTTGTAGTGCTTACTCAGGCAAAGCTGCCACTGAAAGTGGTCGGAATTTTGTCCCAGTATGGATTTTGCGCTCAAATAAGTGCCTGAAGGGGAGACACAGGAGTGTTACAGGATGGCAATGTGTGTATGGAATCAGCTGTCATTGCAAGTCATGAAAATAAAGTAATACAGCCACTTCCCACTATTGATCAAAGCTTTCTCTAAGCAAGATAACACAATGGACATCTCTCCCACCATATGAACTCTTAGTTTGACTCGTATTTCCATGTGAATTTCTGTCCTACCCTCTTCCTACAATCTTACTGTAGTTTTTATATGCCACTTTAACATATGAGGTATTTTCTTGATTTAGGAAAAAAAGTCTGTCTGGATCAAGTTCTTCTCTGCTTCTTAACTGCTGCTCTTGAGATACCTAGTATTTCATTCCTTTTTCTCTTTTTTCTTGTATCATGGCGGATTTTAATTTGGCATCAGTGGTGAACGTGCACATATATTTCCAAGCTACTCAGATACGGCAATGTACTGATAGTTCAATTATTCTAAGTGTAAATAGAGAACTCCAGCACCAGTCAAAAAAAACTGTGTAGTCTGTTCCCTCTGTAGTTACACTGAGAATTTTATTCTGCGGTTTTTATTAATTCTGATCTGCTATATTTCTTATTCTGTTGGAAGGATTCAGATAACCTAACAGTTACCAATTTCTTTCTGGGTAGAATGGGCCTTCTAGCCAGAGACGAAGATTCAACCCACAGCATCAAAACACCCGGCTCAATGGATCTCTTAAGTCACAAGGTGCCAGTAATGAGGCAGATCAAAGTAATGTAAAGAGTGGTTCCAGGTCTGAACACAGAAGACAGCAGCATAACAGCTTCAGACCTAAAAACAAAGGAGCTATGAAAAATCAAGAGCAGTCCACACCTACAAGGACCACAGAGAATGTGACACATTCGGAAAAAAACCGTCGGAAGCATCATACACCAGACACCACAGATCACAGGCCCTTCCGAGGCAGTGTTGGCAGGGTGTCGCAATGCAATTTATGCCCTGCAAGGATGGAGGTCTCTGCTGACGCCACTGTTCTTTCAGTGCCAGCTGTGACTTTGGTGGCTTAAAATGTCACAGTGAAGGCAGGCAGAGAAATTAAATCTCTTCATTTTAGTTTATTGCTCAAGATGCTTGTTGAAGCAGTGAAGAAAATAAGTCAGAACACACAGTCATTTGCTGCTTAAAACTTGTTGGTATCTTTATTACTTACTAATTATCAGCTTTAATTCAGTTTCAAGGCTTTGCCCAATATGCTCACAGTTCTTTTGTCATGACAGTACAGAATCTTACCAAAGCAGCATTTACTTCTTAGAAAAATGAAATATAGATTGAAAAAATAAATTGAAGATTAAATTCACAGTAGCAGAAGACCTGTTGTAGATATGTGGGTTATACCTGTCAACATTATTGTTTTTTAGAGCGGCCAGTGTTAGAAAAGATCCCAAGAAGTTTCTATGCTCTGGTCTGTAATGAAATCGAATAATCCTGTAGAACTTTTCTGGACAAATCTATACACCTTTCTTTCTGTGTTTGTGTATGTGTGTGTATATATACACATGCATACATACACGTACATGCACACACACTGTATACACTCAGAGTATTGTTATATACAAGAGAATTTGAAAAAGTAGTACATTTGATTTTTGCTTATTATTCCATAATCTGAAATCTTTAAATTCAAGTATAAATTCTATTAAATATATTACATATTGGTATTTTTCACTGACAAACTATTTTTATGATGCTGAGAAAAATGCTCATTTCTTAAGTTTGGAATGTATATAGTCATGGCTATTCAGATGCACAGCCCTATTCTCCATCCTTATCAGTCACTCTAGTCACTTTGCTATGACTGGTTGGTTTTTTTTTTTTTTTTTTTTTTTTGGTTTTTTAGAATGTACCGGGGTTTTTGGCAGTCACAAATAGAAGTTTGCATCCTGCCCCTGTAGCACTGGGCATGAAGTGCAGGCATTTTTAATTGGGTAAAGGTTTTTTTTTTTTTTCTTTTTGGCATATGAGAAGTTACCGGTGTTCTAGACTTGAATCCAAATTATTTTTCTATAATTTTGCTGTGGGAACCATCTGTCCTGTTCAAGAGCTATGACTCTAATTTGTTACAGCAGCATTCAGCACAACGTGGAGGTACATATTTGAGCAGTTACCACATCCTTCTGAGTTTTCTATTAAAGTAAAAAACTTAGTTAGTGTTAATGTTCTGATTCTGTATTTCAGAAAACTTGTTTCTTCCAAAAAATTAAAATCTCCTTTCTAAAATATTATGGCGTTTGCTGCTTTGCAGTACCTAACCACTTGCGATCTTATTCCATCTATATTCACTTAATTCAGTGGGTATCAGTGGGAGGCTTTCAGCTGAGTTTGGATTGGACCAGGCTTTTGCTTTTGACGAAATTCTACTACCACAAGTGCACGGAACAGCACCTTCCTGCATGAGAGCCCCACTGACGCTGGACGTACTTGTAATGTAAGTTATTACTTAATGTAGTAAGGTGTCAGAATCCAAACCTGGCATCATGTGAGCTAGAGGCCTGAGTGTTAGATTCACAAAGGTGTTTAACAGTCTTATTTCCCACTAAGGTCAATAAGAGCAGAACACTTGAAGTTTGTTCCTAGATATTTGTTTGCTATTGCTTTTTGCCATTTTCCTCTGCCTGATTTCTGTTAGCTGACGGCACACTTCCTTAGTACTGACAGTTCTACTTTTTCTGTGCGGTACTCAAAAAATTAACTCAAAATGTAAAGTGAAGCCCATTCCTTATGGACAGTTTTACTTAGTTTTATTTGTCTCTTGATATCTGTAAAGTTTTTCACATGTGGATATTGGTAACACATGGTTCTAAAAGGCAGATAGCTCCACTTCATCTGGAACTCTGGTGGAAGAAAAATAAAAATGCATAGGTAAATACTGGGTTTCTTAGTATTACAAGCACTGCTTCTATATAGGTTAATTATCAAACTTTTAGGCTGAATATTTAAGTATATGGAATGGAAATTCTAGAATTTGGGAACTGAAAGTCTGTTGTGCACACCCATCAGAAAGGTAGCTTTTCCAAAATTTGTCCAGTGCCTCGCTGTAAGGGATGCAATTATGAATTCCATGCAGATATTACACAGGAAGCTTGTTATATTGTGCTTAAATAATTTGTGAAACTTCTATTCTCATTAAGAGATTTTTTTCTTACCCAGAAAAAAAAGTCTAACTAACTTATTTACAATGATTTTTACTCCTTCTTTATAGCTCTTCCACATAACAGGATTACTGGAAGTTATTCTTTTCCGTAAGTCAAACTTCCTCACAAACAGGCTTTTGCAAAATAAATAAAATCCGTAAGATAAATCGTAAGTCAGCACAACAGGACTACCGCTCCCTTAAGTACCAGCTGTCCTTTGATGTACTGCAGGCTCAGTATCTGACAGATCCAGGACTAACAGGTGAGAGGCAGCATTTCTCTTCCGAGTGTGCTGCGGATACATTTTATGTGATACGGGATACATGTGTGAGTTTAGTCTAGCTGGACAGTGGGCTGGTTCTTGGAACGCATCAGTCTTAGCACTCCAGATGTGCTTCAGTATTGGAGCACACATTTTAACTACATTACGTGGCTGGGCTCTGAAACCTGGTTTTGTCAGAACAGTATCCTGTCATCTTTCAGTTCTGGTGTCTCTCTGTACCCTTGGAATTGTGTCTGCCAATTTCTAAGAGCTTTTTACTGGTCAAAATACTTGTAATTAATTGGATGCTCTTGTGCTCATCTTCAACAGAATTAGTTTTCATTTTTTAATAATAACAGAGCCATACATGTGGTATTCCTCTTCATGTGAGGGGCTTGCACAGGGGTCAGTGAGGGAATTCTTAAGGGCGGGACAGAGCTTGACTTTCAGCTTTTCAGTCTAGCAATTATAAAAAGACCCCAATTTTTAAAGCAAACACAGCTGTTCGGAATTGCTCAGACACCAACATGGAACCACCCACTGCCTTTTGTACACTCTTTTGAAAGGGGAAATACACCTCAAAGAGCAGTATTTTAAAGCAGATTGGATTCATTTATCTTTTCTGTAAGATTAAGTTGAGGCTAAGGGCAGAACTCAGTGAAATAAAGGACCAGATAGGCAGTTAGAAAACTAAAAACAGAATGTAACATTGTTGACATAGCCAAACTTTTTGAAAACCTTCAGTGATTTAGGCGTGTTTGAAAAAAAGGTTAAAAAAATCACTTATGTGTGTTTGAAAACATCACTCAAAAATTGTAACTAAGAATTCTGAAAGGGAAACATTGCGCCTGGAGCTCATAGCACTTCCCTGCACACTGCTGTTGTAGGGGAACGCCTGGCCTGAGCTTGTGTGGCAGTTCCTGTTGCGAGTCTCTTGCCTCATGTAGTGACCGGGCTGCACGAGAAGTTTTTAAATAAGCTTTAAGTTCATGGACTTGTGACTAGAGCAGAGGCTGCATGGGCTCCATAGATCCCAGGTTCCAGTACCACTGCTAACTGCCCACTTGAGGATATAATATTGCCAGAAATTTTAGATAATACAGTATTGCATCAACTGCAAGTTAGAACACTCTGGAAACTCCAGAGAACACTAACAGTGACAGCTATTTACCATGAAATCAGCTAAAACAAACTGTAGGAAAACGTTCATTGATGTTGTACCAGAAACTAGAATGGATTAAAAGACACACACATGAAAGGGGCAAATTTGAAAATGGCCAAATCCTTGCACATTACACAGCTGATGAGGTGGCCTGGTGAACGTGCAAAGTAACTTTTCAGCCAAGAGAGGTAAGTTCTGGTATAAACAGCCAGACTTTTTGGCAAGAAGAAATATGTGTAAGGAGGAATACCCCAAAAGCTCAGAAAGCAAGGTCTGTAACAATCATACCTGTTTCACTACGTACTCTCCTCTAAGATATTGCTTAGAATCCATCCAGATTTTTCTGGGGCTTTGCCAGCACAGAGTATTTACAGTGTTTTACTTCTTACCACACTTCAACTCTTAACTGCATCTAAGCAACAGGCAGCTTCAAGTTTTTGATGATGCAGGAGACCCTCCTGTTTTTTTCAGGTGAGAATTTGTCCTTCACAGATTGAGAAGAACTAAACAGATGAAATTTTCTTGCTGATGGAAATGTTAGTATTTCTTCTTCCTAGCCATAGTAAAATTTGAATCACATTGTATTTATTAGCTAAGTAGTTTAATAGAAATGGGTTTAAAAGAATACTTTTCTGCTCTGGAGGAGAGCTGACTGGGTAAATGACTGGAACAGTTCGAAAGAATAAAAGAGGTAGCTTGATTAGGAACAAGACATAAATATTCAGTGCTGAGATCTCCCTGAGATCAGTGGGAACACGTGCCTATCATGTGAAATAATGTCTGTTTGCTTACATCAGCTACAGAGTTCTCCATTGGCTGAATCACACAGACAGAATGACATCTGTTTGAATCACATCTTGGTGATAATATGCCTGCTGCACCCCAGGCCCCCCATGCTCGGTCACGTGGGAGTTGTTCTCTAGAAATTACCTTGTTATGGTATTTTTCCAGTCTCCTTAACCTGAATGAACCTATATCACTGTTTGTTTGGAAAGACAACAGTGGGAAAGTGAGGACTAAATGACTGGAAAAGGGACAGTGTTTATGAAAAAAGATGTAATGCATCAAACTAAACTGGTAACACATATTTCATTCCTTAGAACACAGCTATTAGATACCACTACTCATTAGATTACTAGATTGAAGTAATTTTCTGAACATAGTTTCTTCTCTAATGAATGATAATTTTATGAAGATAAAAAGCCACTGTCAAGCACCCTTTGACAGTGTGTATAATCCTAACTGGAAAACTGTAGCTCATGTACAGTAGCTTCCCCAATCAAACTGGTATGTAGAGTGTATCACAGTTTATCAGCACAGGTGCATTACCAGACAGTACCACTTCAGTTGAGTTAGATAAGTGTAACATCAAGAAAACTGCAAACTTTCGAGCAACTTGGGAACATGCAGTTTTGAGGAAGCTTCAACCTGCAGGAAACTCAGACTTGCTGACTTTCTGCTCCTTGTTCCAGCCTCTCAAAAAACACAGTCTCTTAACCACAATAAGAGATGAATAGTCCTTGGACTGGCAAGCTTCATTTCTGCATTTGTTTTCAGTTATCAGCCTCACAGAAAGAACAAAGTGCCATTTTACTTCTACATTTAAAAGGCTTTGGATGGATATGCTTGAAGCTTTAGACAAAATCACCTTGAAGGTTAATTCTATTCAACTGTCATGAAAGTGTTCAGCATCAGTCCATTAGTTATGAGAAACTATTAGCCAGCTTCATGAGCATAAAAATACAACAGAAGTGCCTACTCATAGCCTTTTAAATCTATGTTTGCATCTCATCTAGTTTAAGAAACAAACAAAACAATAAAATCAAGTCTCTAAAAAAATAATAGTAATCTTGCTCTACCTCCCCACCACAGCCAGTCTCCCGTTTCACCTGCTTACTGAGTCATTTCCAAATTACAGGGCCTATGTTTTTTGGTTTTAACCACAAGCCTGTGTGTCTAGCGCAATGAAAAAAATTCATTAAAGCCACTGAAAACTGTGTGGGCCACTGTAATGCAAATGACATGAAAGTTGCTTGAAAAATATTGTACTATCAAGAAGATTAAAGAAACATTGAGCTAGTGCCAACTCGGACCTAAAGGATTTTTCTCAGAACTTTTTTCTCGCACACATGCAAAATAAGTCCATTTTTTTGGAGCACTTTAGTGTGGTATTTATAGAAGTCTTTTTAATTCATCACATGCCGAAGAGGAAGGAAATCAGCTTTAGGAAACAATGTAAAAAGATTTTAAAAGTATGTGGTAAACTCTTCACCTATTCAGTAAGTATTGAAGTAAATGTCGCACAGAAACAGCAGACTATATTATGCTAGTATCTTTCCATAATCTTTGCCTTTTTCTTACTTCAGTGAAACTTTTTTGTTGTTGAGGGGATAGGAAGAGCTTTGGGGTTGTTTTTTAGGTTTATTAAAAAAAAATTAAAAATTCAAGGAGTAAACTGGCCTTCAGTATACAAACTGATGACACCAAATTACAGTACTGCTCACCTTTACGGTAAATATTGTAAAGTTATCTCTTTAAAAATGTTAGTACATGAAAGTCTAGGTTTTTTAATTGTGCAAATGAAATTTCAAGCCTTGGCACTTATGAAGAAAAGCCTAAAAATGCAATCTCTTCTAAATGACCCAGAAAATAAAACATTTAAAGAACCCTTCTGTATTTCTAGTAGTCTCAGGAATTTTAAGTCCATTTCATTTTGGCAATGTGACAGGTCTTTTCAACATTTAGGGCCAGCTGTATTTACTGTGTTGAAAAAGCAAAAGCAGTAACAAAAAAGAAAAATAAAGAAACTCTAAGCAACAAATAAGGGCATAAAAAGAAGCCTGGTTTGCAGAACTTAAAACAAATGTTAAACAGCATTGGTTTAAACAACTAGAAAGAATGAACCAAAGTCTGCTTTCCTCTGATGACAGAGATATGCAACATTTCTTCACTTCAGTATCGTTACTCAAAATATACCCTGGTACAACTGAGGACAGGAAGAAATCCAGTGTGTCCTCCCTCCTCCTCCAGGGGAAGGAAGGGTTATTTTATCTTTCTTTAAGCCAGGACACTTCTGTTACACTGCTTTGCTACATGATGTTGCCATTGTCTGTCTGTCCATCCTGGGCCCTGTATGTGAAAAGAACTACAGAAGGACACAGTAACGCCAGCCAGTGGTGACTCAGACCTGAAGCCTCCCTGCAGCTGCAGAAAACATGGCCTGCAGCAATGTGATCCCTGCAGAACACCCTGCCAACAGCAGACCACATCTCATTAGCAAAGCAGTACGCGTGTCTCAGGCCTATGAAAAAGCTGCCTTATTACTCACTAGGCATGCTTCTCCCTCCCTGTATTTCTTAATTTTCTCACCATGTGCAAGCAAAGGTGGTCCCTTTAACTGCTGTTAAATAACAGAATGGTGACTTTTCCTCTCCAAAGAGTACTACTAAGTGTGCATTCAACTTGTGAAATCTTTGCAGTACTCCATATCTCACAAACTCATGACAAACTTTTATCTGCTACTATTAATTATTATTCTTATCTATTTTTCCCAATTTAAATATATTGCTTAAGGAATTTAACTCTAGATTCAGGGTTTTTTTTAATGTTAACTAACTGTACTTAAAGTTGATAAACAGTTTTTTTATGCCATGTGCATACTCCCTCTAAAAAGGTTAGTTGTACCAGTACAGCCCGACAGAAATACAGATGTTAGATACCATCACATTAGACTGCACAATGCTATGTTTTGAGTTTTTTAAAGCCCTGTTTCTTCCTCCCTTCCCAGCTCCTAAATATATTTAGCAATAAAGCAGAAAACAAGTCACTGCCCACTTAAAACCATTTCTCCCTACCCTTTTCATTATTTTTTCATCATTAATTGTCTAATAAGTCTTTGAATAAATGTTAACATGAGATCATTATCTCTTTGGCCAGATGATGCCAAGCTATCCAGTCTTTCAGGCTGAGTGAAAGATTATCCATCCACTGTATCATTCTTAAGGTTAATACCAGCTGCTGATACAGCTGGTTCTTTCTTGTTTAGTACTGTAGAAGTTGTAGGAATTTCAGCAGCAGCACTGTCCTGTTCACATGTTTTATTGGATATTAAAGATGACTGAGATGGCATCACAAGAGAAAGCGGAGTTCGCTTCAGCTTTACTGCACGGTTGCTTGCAGGCTTCCTAGACACTGAAATCTTGCAAGTCATCTGACACTGCTTCCTGCTGTCAGCCCTCTGCCTTCCACCAGATGCTTGCGAATTGGTGGGCACTGATGGGCCCATTGTGGATACAGTTTTAGAAGCTACTTTGTGCAACGCCAAACTTTCACTGTTGGGTCGTTTCAGAGTTACCACAGAACCTGAAGCATTGCAAGCAGCTACCTTTAATGAAGCTGAATTCTTGACTTTGATATGGGTACTTGTTGAGGGCCCTGAGAATCTAATTGGCTTGGGACCCACTTTACAGGGTAAAGAGTCTTCCTCTTCTTCAGTAAAGTCAATTAATCGTCTGTAGAACAAAAGATTTTAATTAAAAAGAAACAAACTAGATACTTTAATTATTTTTTTTTTAACGTAATTATAAAATAGACCATCTCCAACAGCCATCCGCAAATCTGAATGTTTTAAAATTTTTTCTGTTCCAGTATCATTTATGATTCTCAGCTGTTCAAGATTGCAATCAGGTTTGACTTTAGATCAGTAGCACCAGCACTGTCTTTTACTTATGTAAGTAGCATTACATCTTTAAAAAAATGGAAGGAGATAATGTGCACAAACTGCTAATTGAAAATGAATGAGAGAAAACTAGACAAGCTATAAGATAGAAAATACTAAAATAAAAGGCTACAATTCCATCAGATATGAAGTACACTAAATACTAATCTGATGTGTTTTATGTTAGCTACAAAAATACAAAACCTGAGTGCAAAGTAACACCGGACTTAAGAGTTCCGCACTGTGTAATTTGAGAAAAGCAGCAAGACATCCCCTCTTTCTCCCTCCCTCATTTCTTTCAAAATGAAATTAAGGATAACTTTCAAGAAACCAGTTGAGAAAAAGGAAAATATTGTGCAAGAAATCCTATAGCGTCTCAAAACTGGCAACTCTCATTGGCACAGGTAGCCAGCATTTTTAAAGTATTACACAAATGCTTCTTCTCAGTCCTGGCAAAGGAAAATAGACAGATGCCAGGAAGATTTTAATTCCTCAAGGAAATAATAAATGATGCCATAGAAATCCAGGTCACATTAAAATAGCTGATCAGTAAGAATATCAGAAAATCTGAGACCTGACCAGACAAGATCTATACTGGATGCAGGTCAGAGGGATGATCAGTAAATATGTAACAAAATTATTTCTGGAGAGGTGGGGAAGGGAAATAAAAGGAACACAGAGACCAAAGTTAAACTGGAGCATTATCAATGCATGTAAAAATGTATCAGAATAAAAGCTGCAAGAATAAACAATGTGAGATTAATTAATGCATTACTTTTATAAAACTGGAACATGGTAACACTCTTCAAACAGAAAGCTTACAAATAACCTAGTGCTCATAATAAGTGCAGGGAGGTCTTCCTCACAGAGTCCTATGATAGGAATGTATTCTCAATGTCTGCGCATCCTAGATCAAAAGAGCCACCAAGTTAAAATGGAAAGCTTAAAGTCCCAAATCTTTGACTGCCTAACAGTAACAATGAAGCATAGGGAAAACATCATCATCAGTAACTAGGTTCATTTAAAATAGTATTTCAAGACAGTATATAAGTCTCGCCAGAATGAGAGTGGTTCATCAGACGTTTCATGCAAAGCTGAACGTAAAGTTTGTTGAGACAAAATAAAGCAGACAAAATAAAGCAAAAATGGGAGATAAAACAGGCAATGGTAGCAGAAGAGCATTTGGGAATACATGAATGCTGCCTGGCAATCCAGAGATTAACGAACACAGTCCTTTCTGTAAGACCTGTGAAAAGCAAATAACGTAGTATTTAGGAAAAAAAAAAAAGAAAAAAAGAGCAATATAGGGGATACACGTTTTTAGTTGTATCGGTGAGCTGATGCAGCTCTGTGGCTGCTACCAACATGAGAAGGTGGTAGGGGAATATGTGGTCGGGGACAGGAAGGTCAGCAGGATCCTCCTCCCTCATTTAGCAGCAAAATGGCTGTAGTGACTCAGATCAAAAGGGTAGCTCTGCCTGCAATGACTGTTTTTATGTAATTATTGAAAATGGAGGTGGAGTCAGAAGTATCACTGTAAATCTGAAAAGGAAAAATTCTAGCAGAAAAGCAATAAACATGAGACCAGTTAACATTTTAAGTAGTTTTCAGTTAGATTTCTTATTTTAATCAGTCCATTTAACTAAGTAACATTGCTCTCTACATTTTGAAATTACTCTTTCTTTCCCACTTTGAATAATTATGAATGTTGAATTTTCTGTGTTGTTTCCATTTACATTTTTATAAAGTGTTTTGTAATCTCTGAGAGCATAATGGCAGATTTGACCCTGATAGAAAGAGATTACCTTTGTTTAGACTGCTGAAAGGTCGTCTTTATTTTGTCCTACTTCTGTAGGCTTGTAAATATAACTTAGAGATTATGCTTTTTTTCCATTTTGTTTTAAGCCATCTGTGCAAATCAGCATACCTTTTATGAACTGGAGGCATATGATGCAAACTGCCTTTCAAAGGGCGTTCTTCAAGAGTCCAACATTCAATCAGCTCCTGGGGCACCCTCCAGTAGCTGACACCTGCATTTCAAAGGGACGTTGTATCGATGAGCTGAGAGAACACGGCCAACATCGCACGTGCATATTCCATGACTAAATAAATGCATTTATTCTATTATGTAGAATTTCAGCTCTGAAACTACACTGACATGTACTGGTGCTTCCAAGCAACATGCTGCTCAGGGCTTCCACCATAGTGCCCGATGCTAGCAGGCTATCAACTTTGAATGTGATGGCTCTCACCACACCGATTTATTCATGTCAATTCATGTCACCTTACTGAAACAACACTTAAGACTTTTCTTTTTCCAATAGCCACTACTGTGCGATATTTTACATCATGTCACTTGCTGAATGAGAAAAACGTATGCAGATTTTATTATAGTCAACTAGCAAATGATTTTTCTTATTTTTCTGTACATAGTACTAGTACTAAAACAGGAAAAAAAAAATTAATACTCTACCTCTCCCTTCCCAGGCATCAAAAGCATCCATCATCTTTTTCAATTCAGCGACTGAGTAATAGCTCCAGATGTACTGGACGTTATTTCCAGCTTCTCTAGAAATATTGTTTTAAAGGTAAAAGTTACACGGTAAATCTAGTTAAATCCTTAAAAATAGCACTGAAGAAATGTATCATTCTTTTTACCAAATTGTAGCTCTAAGGACTTATTAGAAAATGTTTTGTAAAGCAGATATGAAAAAGTTACCTAAACTGAATTTTCATTTGTATAAGAGGTTCTATATAGCCATCCTCCTCTGATCTGTATGCCTGTAAAACGCCTATTGCTAAAAATGGGCATTCATGGGGGGGGGGGTATGGGGGGGTTTTTTTTTTTTCATGAAACAATAATTCCAGAATTAATGGTGTAAAGTCTCTTCTCCTAAATCTCAATCATATAGTCAAAGGGAAAGCACAGTAGGAGGTCAGATACCTGAATCACCACCTGTTCAAACTGCTGAAAGATTAAAACTTCTATCTTACTCACGTTTCAAAAAGGTACACAGTCAAGAACACAGCTGAGACTATGCTGTGGGACCAGGAGAAAGACAGATTGCTTCCAGACACTCAGAAGTACAGGCCTACTAGTAATTTATAATTATTATCCTAAAAATGCATTAACGTTATGGTAGAGATGTACATGTCCTTTAAAGGATTACAAACATTTCCTTTCATCTTCACTTTTTTCTGTGCCACATATGTCTTTCAGCTATTTTAGAAGACTGCAAAATACGATTCTATTAATTACTACCAACTTTGAAAATATTTTAACTTTTTCTGGATGGGGATTCCTCCCCTGTATTTAATGTAAGTATCACCCTAAATTAAAATATAATTTCAAATTGTTGAGACATTTTTTAAATAGCAGTTAAAACATAACAAGAACTTACAGCAACTGCATGTTCTCCACCTTTTGTGGACTCTAATTTTTGTACTCTGTGCTTAGTTTTTAACCTTTTCTTTGTTAAATTTGAATATTGTATTAGCCAGGTGTTTTCCAAGTAGGAAAGAGTCTGATTCCTGCCACTGATTATAGATAGCATAATAACGCTGCATTATGCTTAGTACAATAATACTTAGGCATTATTAACATTAATACTTAATTAATATTAATACTTAGGTATGATACCTAAGTATTCATAGTCTCACTTCACAGCGCTTTCAAGTGTCTGACAGTCATCTTACCTTTTGTAAATGCTTTTACTATTAATTTTCCTTCCTAGCTCCTTATTAATTGCATCAATCCCATCAGCTCTTGTGGCATACACACCAATAATTTTACTTTCACAGCTTGCTCCGGAAGTATTGAGATAGTGCAGGACCCAAACTGTAGGCTTGGTGCAGACTAAATCGTAAGAATCACAGAAATCTAACAAAGCCTGGCAAAAATATAAAACACAAAATAATAAATATCAATAAGGAGAAATTATTTTTAGTTGAATAACTTTCATATGTAGGTTTTATTAACTGTATTGGTGAGTTCTTTTGAGTAAATCAAAGACATAGCTTATCCAGAATATTACATGCAGAATTTCTTATCTGATGTCAAGGGAGAACATTGAAAAACTAGAAGAAATTCAGAGAACAGCAACAGAAATGCTTATGGGCATAGAAAATCCCTAATCTGAAGAGAAAGTTAAAAACCTTGGTTTATCTTTCAAATTTTAGAATGAGTTTGCAAAACTCACAGATGTCTCATGAAGGGATCAAATCCCATCTCAAGTAAAATTTGAGGCTCAAATAGGAAATTATACAGTGTCATTCCTACCATGCAAGTTTTCACAGAAGACTTAAATATAAAACTGAAAGTCAAATTTAAACTATTGTTGTTGCAAGTACTGAAAATGAAGTTCCAAACACCTAACAAGAGAGGGACTAGAACGACGAAAAGAGCTGATGTCCGTAACGACTGTGACTGCATTATCAGCTCCAACATTTCTAGTCCTAAAATTCTTGAGTTGACCGGTGATTTAAAGTGGCAATTAGAAAGCTCTAACTTCCATATGCTGTAGTTTTAGTATGTGATGTTAATGAATGGTGTGGATTATGGAGTATATCTTTAAAAAAAAAAAAAGTAAGAAATGTCAAGACCTTTTTAAGTTCTATGTTCGACCTGAAAGAATATGTCTCCAATTCATTGGCCAAATGGTCGGACAGGCTGTATGGATAAGGGACGCCAAAATAATCTGCTTCTTCCTGCAATGCAGTTCGAATTTGTTCATCTTCAGGAATCCTAACTTCTCCATGAAGATAATCTAAAAGATATTTAAATAGGCTTCCATCTCGATCAATTAGACAAGCCCCTGAAAATATAAATAAAACAATTTAAAATATTGCTTGCAACAAGTGAAGGCAGACTTGCCACATTCTGCCAGATTATCCGGTAAAGCCCTTATATAAGACTTCTTTACTAATTTTACTTACAAGGAGTAAGTATACCTTCTCTATTCTATTAAAACTACTACTTTGTTGCCCTGGAATACTTGGTAAATTTGAAGATAAAATTCTATTGCAGTGAACATCTCTTGCCGTGTTTGGAATTTTAGTGGAACTGATCTGCATAGGACTGTGCCCAGGTATAACCTCACCTGTACTGTGCCCTATTTAGAGGGCTAAAATCTAGAATTGAAAATGCATCTATAATTAACTTTGGATACAACTTTTCTTGCTCTTGCAGGAACTTTCCCAAGTTTAAGTGTCATTCATTTAAAAGAGTTAAAAGTAGGATCAGCTCTAGCATGCATCTAGCCTAAATTTCCCTGGAAATTGCTCCAGTCTAACAGTATTTTTAATGTGTTTTCCCCTGCTTTGCTGTGGGGCTTAAAAACCACTAAGGAAACCAACCACACCAAACAGCCATGGGAACTATGCAGAGCTGTATACAACATGCTGTTCAGTGCAACTGAAAGATGGTAGCAAAGCCCTGCCCATAAAAATGTTAAACATGTCAGATATTTTAAATTATCACAAGTGACTAGCAAGGGATTGCTATTCTCCATTGACCAAGGCTTTAAAACTGGACATACCAGTAGGATTCTGAATCACAAACAGAAGTCAGATTTGACCCATGAATATTTTAATTCAAGCTTTCATACCAAGCCACAGTAGTCAGAAATTCAGTCTTTACCAGTAACCAAGCATTCTGAAACAAAGATAAGAAACTAATCTCCTTAGGTAATGAGCAACAGAGAGAGCAGGATGCCTCTGGAGAATAGGGGTTCACAAACAGGACTCGAATTAAATGCCAGGTATTCTGCCAGCTTCATCGGTATCTGTCTATTTTAATATTCATACTGCAGTAGTATATTCCAAGGCAACAGCCTGGCCTGGGACGAGGCAGGGCTAAGCAACAGACAAGCGTGCTTGCGCACAGGAGCAATCCCGCAGAATCCAGGCCAGCACGCTGCGTGCCACTCAAGGCGACACATGATACAAAACACATAAACGTATGGAAAAGCATGTTTGCCACAGAGCTCCCTGAGCAGCATGTAGTATTTACAGCTTAAACATATTTACCAGATTCATCCACTTTTAGAGGAAAACGTCCACTAAACATGGAAGCTAGCATTGAATCCTTGAAGCGGCACAGAGACTCGCGCCTGGCTGTGTACATACATCCTCGCACGTTCAGTTGAAGAATACCCTGCACCTCTTCAGCCTTGCCTTCTTCCATTGCATTTGCCAACGAGGACGTTAATTATGAGCTATTCAAACCTGAAATGCACAAAAATACATGTAACACCCATCATGACTGAGCATCTTACACACAAGACCCAAATGTCAGCTCAGCTCTTTGCATGTTACCTAATACTGCCCTTCAGCTTTGGAAACAGTCCTGAAAGCGTAGTAATACAAACTACCCTAATTTCTACACCTCACTATAACAAAATAAGACATTTTACTTTTGCTTTAAAAAAAAAAAAGAAAGAAACACACACACACACCCCCACAAAGGCTCCTCGTTTGAGGCAGATGGGTAAGCAGAGTTTTAGGAGGTCAGTATGGGCAGACAGCACTGGAAGAACAGTGACAGAAGTTAATGCGTTCTGGGAAATCTAGTTTTGACCCCAGTCCAGGGCGGCGGTAACGCAGCAGCTCTGTGCTGCAGCCAGGCGGCTGCTGCCGCGCTGGTCCTCAGACCCGGGCTGCTCCAGCCAGCCAGCGGTTGGGGCCGTCCCGTCCCTAACGTCACGTTTCCGATAAACATTCCCGTGTCTGTGCCGAGCTGCCCGCAGGAGGGGAGCAGGTAGAGAAAAAAAAAATTTTTTTTTTCTGGCATAAAAATCGGGAGCAAGTCCTCCAAACGGGCTGGTAGCCGCGGCCAGCGCTAACCGGCTGCCCCCCGCAGCCCTCGGCGGCGGCCGAG